CCTTGCTAAAAATATTTGACTCGATATAACCTTTTACGTAAATTTATTAGTAAGATATAATTATGCTCTACTACAAAATCATTAGAATGGAATTAAATGGTTTGTATATTATCTCCAAGGAGAAATTGATATAATATTTATTTTACTCAAATAAATCAAAGTCAAGTTTAATTGGCTATGCGGATACAAGTTACTTATCCGATCCATACAAAGCTCGACCACAAATTGATTATTTATTTACACATGGTGATGTAGCTATATCATGGCTTTTTATGAAGTAACTATGGTTGCTAAATCTCAAATCATGTAGAAATACTAGCAATTCATCAAGTAAGTCAAGAATGTGTTTAGTTAAGATCAATAACTTATCATATTTGAGAGCTATACGGTTTATCCGTTAGTATAGGTGCCACTAGATCCAACCATATATGGATGAGCTTGAGTTAATGTATCATTGAATTATTTATTTTAATAATAATAAAGAAGTCACTCTGTTAATTCTTTTGTTTATATGTTCAATAGAATTAGATAAAAGTCCTTATAATATGTATTTACAATAGTGATTGATCGAAAGATGTGAGACAAATACTAATGCACATAAATGATATCATTAAATGTCCCAAGTCATAGCATTGTCAAGAATGGACATTGACAAATACGGATAGACTTGTGAGTGTTATGCTCATACTATATGATAGCAATAGGAGATCTCACACGTATTGGCATGGTGATGTCAAAACAAGCGCTTAGGTGATTTATGTTGGTAAATATGTCACCTGGACTTGACTCGCCATAAGAACCCATTTGATTTTAGTATATGGGAATGTCATACGATATGGGTACAAATGGTCCTTAGACTTGAGGTCATCACGGTTATCTCATTGAAGGACTTATGCACTTTGACACTCGTTGGGATGGACCCATTAATGGGTTACACATGGGCGATTCGTTGGGTGCACTAGGAATCTAATGGAGGTAGGTGTATGAATAAGATAGGACATATCATTTCTTGCATGCTAAAAGAGTTATCACATTGGACTTTGATAAATTTCTACTCAAGAAATCTATAGTCATAGTAGGAGTACACCAATAGAGCATAGTTGGTCTACTCTAAGAGCTAGGACATTTAGGAATCGAAGAAAAATTATATGATCATAATTGAACAAGACTAATAAACAAGTTCGCGATCACACCTGTGATAAGTTGACATGATGACTAAATTGTAGATAAACATGCTCATGGAAGGTAATAATGGATTAACTAATCTTCCTAGAGAATTGGATAGTCATGATGCCTTGCTTAGAGGCCAATCTTGATTTATGTATCAAGAGATTAAAGATAAGTCTTTTATTCTTGATACATTGTCAACATATCTAGGAGCCTATTAAGTCACATGCATAAGTTTAAGTATTCACATTACAAATGAGAAGCAAGGATATTGAAAAACGTTTTATTTTATAAAAGTTTCCTATTTTGGAAAAAGTTTCCAAAATGGAAAGTTGTCAAAAATGGAAAGTTTCATATTTTAGAAATCGACTTCCTAACTTGGAAGTTAGTTTCAAATTTGGAAATAAAGAACCTAAAAGGAAAGGAGTTTCCTAATTTAGGTTAAAGGGTATTTTGAAAAATTATTTCCTAATGTGGATCTCACTAAAATAATCTAAGATATTTATTTGGATAGTCCAAATAAATTAATTGGGCTACAATAGTTTTGGCCCATTAGATTTAATTAAAAATCTTAAAGATAATTTTGGTGGGAGGATAAACATCAACGTTAAGGATGAATGTTTTAAAGATAAACATTAACCTTATTGGATAAGGTTGAATGTTTTAAGAGATAATAATCAAGTAGTCCACATATAAAATAACTCCTCATCCTTGGAGGATAAGGAAGCAACAATCTAGAGTCCTTTATGGAATCATAGCCGCCCTCTCCTTGTCCTTGGAGGACAAGGAAACCCTCCCTCTAAAAATAGGAGGAGAGGTGTGGCATAAAGGAGAATGATGATCAATCATAAAGTATTTTCGGCCAAGTTAAAAAAGAAAAAGAGAAATTCGACCAAAAAGAAAAAATAGGGTAGGAAATTTCGGCCAACCCTAAAAATCACCTAGGGCATACAACCAAGAAAGAAAAAAAAGGAGAAAATAGTTTTCTCCTAAACCCTAGCAAGAAATACTCTTTCTTCCTCCTTTAAGGTTGTTGCAAAGTTGCTCGAGATTGATTTCTAGAGGAAATACTTAATCGGAAAATGTGGAGCTAGCACCCCATTAATTTTAAGTGCTTCTAGTGGATATTAGGGCTGCGTGGATCATCAATAGAGGTCGGACACTTGGACGGCTAATCAAAGAAAAGGAATTTAGATCTTCTCTACAAGAGGTAATCTTTTACTTTAGCTTATTATTCATGTATGTATGATTAGTAGATTAAACGGCATGATCTTGGGGCCTTAGATGGAGGAAATTTTTTTATTTATTCCTACCTCTATAGGATGCATGATCCTTCATTATCCACTAGCAAAAGAAGTTACAACAATTTTATATAAAGATAATATTGTTTGCATAACTCAATCAAAACAAGGATACATTAAAATGACATCCTAACAAACTTATACTCCAAGGCATTACCTATAATAATTTTTGAGAAAATAAATCAAAAAATTGAAATGCATCATTTTAGAGATCTTAAATAAAGCTTTCAACAAAGGGAGCTTGATATGTGGATTAATGTGTACAAGAAATATTATACTCATTTTCGTTCACTAGTATTTTTTTTTTCCACTAGGCTTTTTTCTAATAAGATTTTAACGACACATGTTCCTTATACAATGAACATTCAAGAGAAAATGTTATGAAATAATGAATGTCCATATGTTTTTCATATACAAACTTCTTATAATTCTTAATATGATTCAATTACTATTCAATATAAGAAATTGAAAGGGTGATGCAATTGATTCAACCATTTATGTACTTTTTAATTGTCTATAGTCCCTTCTAATTCTTTTTCTAATTTTGAAACCTATAATAGACTTGATTGATCATTAGTTTCTATAGACATTAGGAGAATTATTTTGAGTTCTTATCGCTTGTATTTATTTTATTTTATAGTAAAATCATTTTTCATTATTTTTTCTCAAATTCTATTAGTGTTACCATTTTTTTATACCAAAATTAATGTTTTCTTTTTTTTTCATTCTAAACACATTTTAAAAGATAATTTTAAATATAATATAAATGCATTACCAAACACTCTTTTCTTGTTGTTCTCTCGTACCGCTATGCGGATTCTAGGGAAACAAAGCCCTTTAAGTCTGTGTTTGTTTGGGGGAAAAAGTTACAAGAATTTATTTTCTCCATCTTTCCGTGTTTGTTATGCGTTTAGGAAAAAAGATCAACGAGAAAATGATTTTCGATCAACGAGAAAATGATAGAGTATTTTTGAAAAAAAAAATTTCTCAATTAAAAAGGAGGAAAACATTTTCCTTCTCATGAGTTGTCTCGCTCTCTCATTAGTTACCTCTCTCTATATATATTTTAAAAAATTTTTCTCTATCTTCTTTTTGTTTAAAATATATCAAATTAATTATTTAATTATTTTTTCTCTATTTCTACTAATATTTGGTTTTTTGATTTATAGATACATTAAATATTCTTAAAAAATATTTTTACACCTTAAAATTATTTTTATAATAAATATTTTAATAATTTATCTCTATTTTTTTACTATTGTCTCAAACAACACCTAAACTATACTTAGATGATTGAAAATGATTATTACAAGACTTGTAATTTTTTTTATAAAAAATTTAAAATTAATTAATTCATTAATAAATACATTATTTTTTCAATACAATTCATTTGTAACTAAATTAATAATTTGTAATTTTAATCGGTTGTAAAATTTTATTGGTAATTGTAGTGATTAATTAGTTACAAATTATTTCAACATTAATATTTGAAAACCAAATGAATAATTATCTATAAATGTTAACTAATAATTTATAAAGCTATTTTTTAGACTAAATTATCCGTTCAATTTTCAAAAAAAAAAAAAAAAAAAAAAACTTTATTGAGTTACCAAAATAACAATGCTAGGATTAATTAGATTTTTTTTTTTTTTACTAAATGTGAATATAGACTTGATTTTGTCCCAAGTAATTTTGATGAATTGGTTTGATGATTAACAAAATATATTTTATTTTTTGAATAAAAATTTTAGAGTCGGTATTTATGAAAATTTATTAATTTGTTTTTTAAATTTATCTTGTATTGTGAAATTGTGAATATGCCTTTTTAAAGTTTTCTTAAAACTTGTTGATATAACAATTATATACTTTTTATATTTTAATTTTCTATATCTAACAAACGTTAAAATATATTTTCCAATGGTTTTTTCACATAATTACCAAATGAAAAAAATTATTTTCTTGAAAAATAATTTTATAAAAAATAACTTCTTCAGAAATTGATTTTCCTATAAAAGTTATTTTTCATCAAACAAATGAAACCTTAACTATTTTCCATGTGGGATTTTACACCAAGACACTAGTTCGTGTGGCCAAATGAGCACACTCGATTACGCTAGCTCATGCTATTTTTTGTCCTAAACGCCTTGTAAAATTCAACCTGTGTTTCCGGGAACTCTTTTAAGTTAAATATATGACCATTTGGAGAATAAGGTATCACGAAAATTGGAAAGGGAAACATGAACGCCGTTAGTAGAGTTTTGTCTATGTTGCAGTCGAAATATGTTGTCATTTCCTTGGGCACTAATCATTTTAAACATCCGTATTTTAAATTCTCAACAAACAACACAATTAAGTCATATCACGCAATGCCATTTTTAGTTCAAAAAAAAAAAAGCATAAATGATTTTTATACTTGTTGCCAAGGATAATACATAAAATCCAGCATCAATCTGACCAAAAAAAAAAAAAAAGTTGAAAAACTGGACTGAAAATTAAACTCGAAAAAATAGTGCATGAGTAAAAGAAAAGAGATTATGCAGTGCAGCAAGAGAAGCCATACTTTTTCGATGAGTTGTCCCCATTCTTCATCAGGCTTACTCGATTGACTGTCAGCTCAGCCTTGTATGAATCAGAGTTTAAGACTTTCCTGCTCATATTGTTGTAGATCTCACGGATAACAACCTCAAAAGCAGCTTCAACATTTGTAGAATCAAGGGCAGATGTCTCCATGAAGAATAAACTTTCTTCCTCTGCAAGGCTCTTGCCCTCGTCTCTACTCACTTCTCTAATATTGTCAAGATCACATTTGTTCCCTACAAGCATTTTTGCAACTGCAGTATCACAATGAGCTGCAAATTATGCAAACAATGTTAGGATTCGACAATTTTTGAAGAAAATAATTAGAAGAAATGAAAAACAACTGTTAGGCCTAGAATTTTCTGTTTCTTGAGGAGAAACATCTGCCTATTGACTCTTCTAAAATTTACATGCTGTTTAGTTTCCTTGAATGATTTTTCTTATCAATTAGTATCATTAGAGTCAACATTTATCATGCCGAACATTTTTATCAGACAATTAAAATTTGACTCTTCTGAAATTCCCAAGTCCAAAGGATAAGCATCTGCCTATTGACTCTACGGAGAATGGGATTTAGTAATGGTAACAGTGCATAAATCAACTCAGTTAACCTTTATTTCAACAAGTACAATTTAAGTTCGTTGGTGCTAGGTCCAGCAAAATTAAGGTATATAGGATACTTGAGACATTCCGCATGATGAGTCAAGCATCCCACGGTAATGAAATTCAACAAATACGCTTCTTTAAGACCTCGTAACATTTTTTGCCATAAGTATTCATAAATAGGCCATACCCCACTTTTCCTCATGCTTGGATTGGATAAGGGACAACCATTCTGAAAGGCTACTACAAGTTGTTAATGGCAGCTGAGTTAATAGAAAGTTGTGTTCGAGTCTCATGTTTTGTTAAACACTGCACTAGTTATGATGTCACGACACCAAGAACATTCATTTTAAACTAACAATGCCTAAATTGTTCTACCACTGGGGGTCCTAAATAGAGACAAGTGGAATTAAGATGCTAATAAGACTAAATGATATCTCTATCCTCTTTGATCATCATAATGTAGTACAAATGTTGCTATTACTCAACTTTTTCTATGCATTTGCTTTTATAGTGCCACATATACGTGTGCTATTGGTTGAGGCCCGTATGCATGAAAAAAGTATTAGCCTTCAGAAATCAATCACCAAGATACTAAATAACTCTGCATATGAAGATACTACCAATGTATTGCAACATCAGCATATGGGAAGGCAAAGTAAAGTCAATTTCGGCTCACCACTAATCTACTAGTTAATAACGCTTTGTGTTTGATATACAACATTTTTTTGCCGTTTTATCATTTGTTTATAGCAAAGATGAATTTGACGGTTGTCTTAAGCTATTTCTAACACTCAAGTCAAACAATATGATAGTTTGTATACCTAAAGGTACAAATACAATAATGACTTGCAAATTCAAACTTAAGCTATTGAGTGAAATTCAAGAAATAGTTTTATATTATTTTCTAATACATCATTTCAAGTGAAAACCCTTCGGGTTTGAAACTTGCATAGATCTACTATTATCTTCTGCTTAATTAGAAGTGAACGCAAGGGTGATAAGATTCGAATTTGTAACCATTTGGTTATTTAAGCTCTGATACTATGTTAAAAAATCACGTAAACTCAAAAATAAGCTATTGGGTGAGGCTCCAGAAATAATTTAATATCATTCTATGACACAATGCATCTAACACAGAATTGACTGTAACAGTTCCTCATTGGCAGATATTGGTAAAACAAACTCTCCATTTGGTTGAGAAGAAAACGGAGATACGAAATTAAATTTAGAATCAACTAGACTTAATTTGTAATCAATTTCTAGGATGAAGCAATAGGCGGAAGAACATTTGTTATAATCAACAATTAATTAGATCTCCATTTATTCTATTCGCCCATAATCTCCAGCAATAAACAGAAAGGGAGCAGCATATCAAGAAACAAGAATGAAGCCATAAAATTATTTGACAACGTAGGTTAGCTAAAAAATAGAAATATGGAAAAACAACATTAAACACAAAGACACCATTTTCTCAGTATTCAAACAAACAACCAACCAAACCATTGAGCTCATAAAAGCCACAAGCAATTAAAATTTCAATACTCCCAGCAACCAAACAGAAAGAAAAAAGAATGAAGAAGAAGAAACTTACTGCCAAGCTCATCAAGCCACCTCTTAACACTGTCAAAGCTCGTCCTCCTGGTGATATCATAAACAATGAGAGCACCCACAGCACCTCTATAGTAAGCAGAGGTGACAGCTCTAAACCTCTCTTGACCAGCAGTATCCCAGATCTGTGCCTTGATTTCTTTGCCTTCGATATCCACCACTTGGGTCTGGAACTCCACCCCAATTGTAGCCTTTGAATTGCTATCAAACTCATTTCTTGCAAACCTTGACAACAAGTTCGATTTCCCAACAGCAGAGTCACCTATGACCACTATCTTGAACAAGTACTCTTCACTTCCTTCTCCTTCTTCTTGTTCTCGACCCATTGTTACAAGACAGGAGTTACTTCGGTTTATGTTGGTAATTAGTAAGTGGTGGGTTTTCGGAATACTTTACGTTTTGAGATGGGGATGGAGAGGTGAAAGGTGGCTACTGGCACTTGCACTTGCACAGAGACAGGCTGCGTAATTGGCGGGGTGTTTTGTGACAGATTTTGGTGGTGGCTTTGACTATGGAAGTTGAGGTTTTTATTTGAGTGAGTTGAAAGCAGCAATTGCCTTTCGGTTTGTGGTCGGAGAATTAAAAGCTAATAAAATATCCTCTCTCTCTTTTTCATATTAAAAATAAAAAGAAAAACATAATTTTTGTTTTGAAATAATTAATATATGATCATTTTATATTCTCACTATTCATGTGATTTAATTTATTATTCAATATGAGAAATTGAAAGGATTATACAATTTATTCAATCACTTACGCATATTTTAATTGTTTATAGTCATTTCTAATTTTCTTCGTAATCTTAAAGACCATAAATAGCATTGATTGTTTATTATTTTGTTGAGATATGTTTTGCAAAGATTAAGACGAGTTATTTAGAGCTCTTATCACTTCTATTCACATTATTTCATAATAAATTTATTTTTTTTATCATTTTTTTCTTTAATTCTATTACTCGTTATTCTTTTTTTATAGCACGTTATCGGTATGAAACTCTAACAAATCTAGATGATAGACTATGAGATATATATCTATCAAAAGACTCAATCATTTATTTCAATCATTGGATTTTTTCTACATAAGTGTTCTACCAAAAGATCTAAATTATCTAGATCATCAAGATGCATGTATCTAATTTATCCTTTACTTTATATTTAATGATACGTAGAGTATATGTTTAAAATTTTTGAATAATTTAACATATAGAATCTAATGATTTAATATATTTTGTTTAAAGAGCTTTAATATTATTATTATGTTTGTTCTTATTTTCTAACATTATCATTATATATTGCATTATAAAAATTTTATCATAACAAACATCATAAACTCGATTTTGTAACCCTTGATATTTCGAACAAGAATTATTGATTATGAGAAAAAATTCTCTACATTTCATACCTCAAATATGCTCATGTAGTAGCAATATCGAGAAAAAAATTTTAAAAATATTATGAACTGATTTCATGTTTTTGAATAAAAATAATGAACTATTGCTGAAAAATCATGAATTTTGTGCAACTCGTTCTACTCCATTCCTTGTGTCATAACCCAAATTTTGGGTTATACTTTTTTCCCTTAATTTTATTTTATGTATTAGTTATTTTTAGTTAAATCCTTTATTTATTTTTAGCTATTCTATTTTATTTTTATTCATTTTATTTTAGTACTCATTATTAAAAAAAATAATAATTGAAAAGGGAAAATCAAATAATAAATAATAAAACATAAAAACAATAAAATTAATAAAAAAATACACAAATTGAAAAAAAATAATAAAGGATAAATCTAATCATGGGGCATAATTGAATTAAATCAATTCAAAATTGAAAGTTAATAGGGGTCAAATTAAACAAAAATCGGGACGAATTAAGGGTATAATTGAAAGAAAATTGAGGATACAATTGAAAATTCAAGAAGTAGGAGGATTATTTCATACTTTTATAAGCAAAACGAGTGAAGGAGCATTCATAGTTTCCTTCAATTGTTTCTTGCAAATAAATGATTTTCGATTGATCCTTCTTTTCTAACGAAATGAAATTCGTTCGGCCCAACACGACAAGTTAGGTCCTTGATCCGCAAGTCATGCTATAAGATTCGAAGAGGAGAGGAGTGTTAGATCAAATAATAGAATTGAGAGAGAATTTTTGAAGGAAATGATTTTGAAAAAAAAATTGGTTAGAATTGGGTATAAATTTGGGGGTTTAGACGAATAGAAACGAGGGAGGGATTCTAGGTTTAGAGAAGGAGAAATCAAGAGCAAAGAGTGAAAAATTGAGAGATTTTGACATTTGGGTTTTTCTAGGTTTGTTGAAGTTTTGGGTTTCTTGTTTTTCATTTCTAGGTTTCGTTTTTTAGGTTTTCCTTTGAATACTTGGGTCTCTGTTCTTCATTTATGAGTTTTTTTTGTTGTTCTAGAGCTCAAATACCAAAGAAGCATTCTCTTCCAGTCTTAGTGAATCCCTAATGTAATTACCCCACGAATGAGCCATGATCGGCATGAGAATCGAGGAAACCGTGAGGCCAACCTCGATCCAAGCAAGCCTCGGATACTAAACTAAATCCTCAAATCATTATCACTTTAATTAGCATTATCATAACTTAATAATCATTATATCACTCTAACACAAGTCATAATTTTAATAACATCATTATATTTCTCAAATCATATTCATAATTAATTCCTAATATATTACCCACGGCTATAACCGTAGAGCATCTAAGAATACATTTAGAACAAACATAGGTTCTAAAAAATTACAAGAGAATAAGTCGCTCGACCAAAATGTTGACTTTGTGAAAGGCAACCAAAAGAAAACGATAGGCGATCCTTCAATATCTAGCAAAATTGAAATAATAAGGGGTGAGCAATCCATAGCTCATTGAGTAGACAATATATAATATACTAAGGTAGGAAAAAAAATAAGGGTGATATTCTTAAATCCATCAAAATGCAATGCTCATTTCTCAAAATACATGCATATCGAAAACAAATCTTATATCAAAAACCAAATAGTTCAAAACCATTTTGATAACAAATTTTTGAAATATTTATACATACATACATATATCGTACTCATATGAGAACACTTATATATGTTTTTATACACTTATGGGGTAATAACGTATCATTGGGTGCGAACATCCAAAGGTCACACCCTCCCGTGACTAGGTTTCTATTTGTTGATCGATATACGATTTAGCACTACAACTCTCATGCTAGATGGAGTCTTGTATCATTGAACTCAAAGGCTATCCCCTGAGTAGCTAAGTTCCTTAAGGCCTCGAAAACATTTTTCGAAAACCAAACATACTTATACATTTTCAAATTAGTAGTTCAAATACTATGCATGCAATTTCAAAAATTATACATATAATCAAAATAACATTTATAACATATTTGCTCAAGTGTGAAAACACAAAAAAAAAAACTCCCTTTCGGTTCATATCAAATCATTTTGATTCGAAAACATTTCAAAATTCATGGTGTCCATTCTCATCTAAGTTCTAACAAAATGGTTATAAGTCATGCTTTAATCAATGATGCATGATAGGCATGATTTTAAGAAATTAAAACATAGTATACTATATAATATCCACTCATAATACAATTTGAAGAATTGAATAAAATCAAGGTAGTGATGGAGTCACTCATTTTGAGGAATCTAACATCATAAATGATAGGGCATCCAACAATATTGTATCTCAAGGAATAATTCAAAATGATAAAAATAAGCATATAAGATTATCAAACAAAAATAGAATTAATTGAAAAGACTTGAATTGATAACCTTAACTAGACTTAATGATCTCTCTAATAATTCTAATCCATTACTTCATTAAATCCCATCATCACCAAATCTTAATTCAACCATGAATTTCTGATTCAAACATTTAATCAATCAATTCTTAATCCCATTGATTTTTAATTAAATGTTCCATTACATTTTAATTCACCAAATACTCATTCCATTAACCTTAATTGCATTTATATAGTTTAATTTCTTATTTTCCTTAATTTTTTTCAATTAAAACCTAAATTCAGATTTGTCACTTTTCATCATCTTCAACCTCTCAATTTCTCAAATTCACTTTATTTCACTTTAAATTAACTTCTTAATTCATTTAACCAAGATAATTAAACATCATTCAAGTCATTATAATTATCTAGAATTTATTTTTCCTAAATGGGTCTCAAAACCCTAACATTAATCTAATCAATTCCTCAAACAAATCACAATCCAATGTAATTACATCTAAATATCATCATTAGCTACACATAAACTTCACAATTCAAAGATCAATGGATAAAAAATCTTACCTTTTACTATATGCCCTTCTACTCTCAAGTTCTTCAAGCTTCTTAAGCTCCGAGCTAGCTAAACTTTACTTAAACCAACTAATTATGATTCTTCTAAGCTAATTTAATAAGGAATTAACTCTGGAATTAAAGAAGGAAGTCATGAGAAAATGAGAGAGAAATGGCATGAGAGAGGAAGAGGAGAAGAGAAGAGAAATCTAAAAAAAGAAGAAACGAGTTAATACTCCTTTTATACTAGCCCCCGTTTTTAATTTAGGTTATTACATTTTCCCTCTTAAGAAAATTCATCCTTGAATTTTGAGTCTATGTGGACCTTAATAAATAAATAAATGAGGATACTTTCTTTTCATTTCCTCTTTGGCCTCTTAAGTGGCTTCTTCGATCGAATGGTTCCTCTAAATGACCTTGATGGACAAAATTTCCTTATTCCATAACTTTTTAATAAGATAGTCTAATACTACAACTGGATGTTCCTCATATGACAAATCAGGACTTAATTCCACCATTTACGATTCTAAGACATAAGATACGTCGAGTACATTTTTTGTTAACATGAAAATATGGAACACTTGGATGTACATTTGAGAATTATGGTGAAAACGCCAACTCCTAAGCCACTTATCCAATCCGACCAATAATTTCAAATGGCCTAATATACCTTAGGCTTAGCTTTTCTTTTTACCAAACTGCATTACTCCTTTCATTGGAGAAACTCGAAGAAATACAAGGTCACCAATTTTGAATTTTACATGTCTCTTTTTAGGATCTCGCATAATTCTTTTATCTACTATATACATTCATATGGTATTCTTAAATCAACTTTATCTTTTTGGTAGTAAGCTAAATCAATTTAGCCCCTAAAGGTTTCTTTCCTTTGGCTTTCACCCAACATATTGGTGATCTACATTTTCAACTATACAAAGCATTATACGGTGCCATACCGATACTAGAGTGAGAACTGTTGTTGTATGAGAATGCAATCAATGAAAAGTGATGATTCCAACT